TTGTTGTTATTTTTCTGGGCAGTTGGAAGCCAGGCTTCTTAATGACAGGTACTCGGAAACTAGTTATGTGCAGGTGAATTGAGTGCACACGGGAAGCTTGTTGAAACCAAGGGTTCAGACCCATCCAGCTGGCCCTTCCGCTGCCCCATCCTCAGCTCGTCAGGCACCATGACTCTTACAGCCACCATGAATCTTACACCTAACGGAAGATCAATATTCGCTGGAGGTTGAGTGATATTATCAGTCTTCCATCTTTTTGCTTTTTTCCAGCCTGTTTTGTTCTTTTGGGAGAACTATGCAGCTTATTGATATAAACTGGTGTGTTTTAAGTAGCTTGCCACTCTGCGTTAGTGACTGGTGCCCAATCATTTCAGTTAAATATTACCCTGGAAACTATGACCATGTGCCCAGCCTTTCCACTCATAGTTATATTAGTAATATAGCAATAATTTAGAGTGAAAAAGAGGGGAGCATAAAACCCTAAATTAGCAAAAGCCTAGTAACTGTCCCTTGTTAATATCACCTAAGGTCATTTCCTTTCCAGGATGTCTTCTACACCGCTGACAAAGTTAAGTCAGCGCTAGGTCTGAGTGATCAGAACTTGGATGGCCTCGGGAATCCCACTCATTTCATGGAAATATGGGGCCATTCCCTAATGTCCAGCAAGAATTCATTCCTGAACTCGGCAGTGGTCCTGAGGACCTCTTTGTATTGATAAAAGCAGCTTTATAATTACCCATGTCAGTGGAAAAATAAATTTTTTTCCTAGAGAATGTCAGTTCCAACAGTATATTTAAACTGTATTGATCTTGCACTGTGGAATTAAATTGTTACTTCACAATCAGGAAATTGTAAACTTAGAAGAGAGTGCCATAAACCACAAGATAGGTGGCTAGAGCTTTTAGAGTTTAAGTGTGCTAAATAATTTATTCCTTGATGATGAATTTAACTCATGGGTTCTCTCACCCTTACCAAGGGCATTATTTCTTTGTTAGGATAAAGGTGGCCCTTATTAAAAAAGTGATACCTAATATGTCAGCAAAAAGGATACAGTAATATAGTACTGAGTGGGATGCCTTTTTATATAGAACATGTATTTGGGGAATAAGGACCTTGTCTAGTCTCTGTTCAAACTCACTGTACAAAACCAATCTATAACTATGAGCAGCAAGCACAATTCTCAGTGTCCTTAATATTAACTTTTGTAAATACCATATAGGCAGCACAGTACTTCCAATCAGAAATCTCTATCAGGAAATGGAAAGAAAATAAAGAATTGTCTAAAATGTTACCAAATTGCTGGTCATTAACATTTAGGATACTGTAGCTGGAAAACATTTTTAAAACTGCAGAGGTTGGTTGAGTTTGTTCGTTTCATTCCGCAAGCATTTGGGAACCTTTCACCTGCATGGCTCTATGTGAGGTGCTGGGAGCATGAAGCTTCAGGGGAGCGCCTATCTGGAAGAGGAAGCAGTTTCAGATATTGATAGAAATATGTACAAGGTACAGTGAACATAGGGGAGAATGAATGGAGAATCAACTGTACTATAAAAGGTGAGGGAAGTCTCCTTAGGAAAAGAGCTGGTCTTAACATGCAGTGAAATCAAGAGACATTTGAGATAACTGCCATACAGCTGTGGTAGTTGTTGATGGTCATCTTCATCTTTACACTCTGGGAGAACTGAATAAGTAGCTTGATTAACAGCGGTGATTCCATGTCTTGCAAGGTTTATAAGATGTATATCCAAGTTTTGTTTCTCTGACCTCCTATGGGTCAGACTTAAAATAAAGCAGGACTTTATTTCAGGAGGAAAAGAAATGATTTCGTGTAAAAAAAACACAGTTGTTTTTCTACAATAATGAAAGTCTTTCATTTACTCATTGCAAATTGTGTGATATCCATTATGGTCTCTGTTCTGCTTTAGTATTTAAAATGCGATTTAAGGAGACAGATGCACATGAATAATCTGGAAAGCCTTTCGTTTATTTCTGTCTCTGTGTGTGTTTCATTAAAGCCTATGCTCAGCAGGGTATTTCTCTCCCAGAATGGCTCCTTTATAGGGAAAAAAAAGGTTAAGGGACACATTGCTTGCAGGTAGGGCTGACTGAGGACACGCACTATCACCTGTACTTGTATAATGCACTTTGGCTGCTTCCTCACTGGTTGCCAGTGTGTGAAAACTTGCTAAGGAAATATCCCTCAAGATGCTTAGGGATAATTTGGGTTCTAATACTACTTAGTTATGTAAAAAGGTTTCAGGGCTCCTAGAAGTAGCTTGAAATGTTTGTGGGATTTGCTGTAGTGAGGGATTGACACCAAAGTGTCCAGAATCTTGGCTAAATAATCTCTACTTTTTATGCTTTGATCTTTCAGGGGGGAAAAATCCTCCCCCCCCCCAATTTGAGTTACAAATTAGGTGAACATTCCTAAAACTTCAAAACAGACCTAGAGAATGTCTTTTCTTTCTACCCCCAACTCCAGTAGCCTCTTGAATTTTCCCCTCCTTACTCTTCTCTTTCCCTCCCTCCACAGAGGGGGCCTGGATGATGCTTTCATGGTGTGCCTTCATCATGTTGCTTCCTGCAAAAATTCTGGGTGGCTTCCCTTTGGATCCACCATAGAAAGTAAGAGACCTCAGAGGAGCCTGTCTGTTTCGACAGACCCCTGCCTTCTTCCCCAGCCGCATTTTGTGACAGTCATCTCATTATTCACGACTCTGATGAAAACCGCCTTTGTACCTTTCTCAAGTGTGACTGATTCTTTTCTGCCTGAGGACTTTGGCACTGCTGTTTCATCTGGGGTAATACTTATATGCTCACTCTTTACTGAACAATTTCTCATTTTTCTAGTTTTTTCCTGGAGAAGCTATTGCCCATCTTGTTTATTGAATTCAGATCTGCTTGTTATATTCTATTAGAGGACCTAGCATTTTCACCTTACACCCCTTATAACAAGTTTTACATTTATTTGAGTGAATATTTAGTTATGCAATGTCCAGCCCTCCTGATAGATCAGGAACCTTGTAAGTAAGGTTGGGGCTCATTCCTTTTTGAACACTTGTATCTATAGGACCTAACAGTTGCTGGTCATAGGTAAGCGCACAGTAAATAAATAACTGAGCTATAGAAGAATTGTGTAATTCTTATTTTCAGCACTTCAGCTTTTTAGTGTTTGTCTTAGCAATCTAGGCCTCAGTGCATTAAACCTATGACTAGCCACAGTGTTATGAATCTCTTAATTATACTACTGTTAAGTAGTTGTGGGGGTCAGTGTGTATACTTACATATAGTGATAATATGTAGTTTTTTAAAAAATATTTATTTATGCATACAGAGCTGGGGTACAGGCCAGAGGTGCAGGGACAGTGAAAGGCTTCACCAGAGACAGAGTGGGGAGCAGAACAGGCCAACTGACAAAGTATACTGCTGAGGGGTGAAGCGGGGGGGTCAGGAGAGGTCTGCGCCATGTGGATCACCTTGGGGTGGGGATCAAACTCATGCTGAAGTGGCTTTAGCTTCTTAGTGATGTGCTTTTACCTGCTGCGCTACCAGGGAGGACCGGTTGGTAGACTTAACTTAGCATATTGTGGTCTTCCAAGCATGATTCTAGAAGACCATGTGACTTTTTTTTTTTATGTTGCAGAATGCATTGTCATGTTCACCATTTCCCCATAATGCCACTAAAATAGGGTAATGATGAACGTCTTTTTTACTAATCATTATCTGCACATGTGGTTGCTCCTATAGGATAGAGTGCTACTTGGAAATTACTGTGTAAAAGAAAAGGCACATAATAACATGTTCCCAGGTGCCTTTTCAAAAACATTTTAATCAATTCACCTTTAGAAACAGGGTGTAGTATCTTTCTCTATATACCATTACTTGAGTATTCAGAAGATACTTGCTATGAACTTAAAGTGTTTTCAAAGCTATTTCTTCACCATTTCATTATTTTTCTGAGTTATCTATACCTTTTCTTTAGTTTAATAATTGGTGCGTGTATTTTAGTGTGCATGTATATAGAGTTACATACATATATTTTAAATAATGGCTTCATTGAGGTAAAATTCACATACCATAAAACTAGTGTTTTTAAAGTATGAAGTTCTGTGAATTTTTGTATATTTACAGTTATATAACTATCACAATGATCTAATTCCAGAACATGTCATCACTTCAAAAGAAATCCCACATCCATTAACAGTTACTCCCTACTGGCAATCAATAATGTGCTTTCTATCTCTTTTGCATTTGCCTGTTCTGGCTTTTGTTTGGGCATAAGGAAAATAAAAGTCATATATAATGAACATCCTGGAAAAACCGCTGTTAATTTTATATATGTTGTCAACTCCTTTGTTTATATATAATTGAAAACAAAATGTAAAGTAAAATTATGAGTAAATGTGTGTGTGTTTTGGGGAGAGTGAGAACCTGTTTTTATATTTTTTAATATACCACACATTTTTTTCTCACTTTATTAAACATTCTGGAAAATGATTTGTCATTACTCCATGTTCTCATGTTATTGGTTGTGCCCTAAGGTACTTAGTATTGGGGTCAGTACTCTGTGGGTCTTGATGCTTTCTGCATGTCAGTTCGGAACTATCTTCTGAAGGGCAATTTTATAGAGAATGGTATGGAAATGTAGCATAGTTTCTTAAGGGCAGAGGAAAGACTTGTTTACTGTCCAGGATAACCTTTTCTTTGGCAAATGTTGGTCAGGGTGCTCATTCTGGGGGCAGCACCCATCTGGTCTCCCTGATGTGACCCTAGCTAGACTCCAGGGCTGGGAACAGAGGCAGACTTGAACGCCTGGTGCATTCCAGGAGGAGGAATGAAGCCCTTTGTTTCTGACCTAGGAGTCTCATGTCTTCTGTAGACATCCAGGAAACCAGGAGATGGTTGCAAACAGGTGAAAGACTCAGATACTTCACATTCTGGATAGTTTATCCCCTAGTACTTAATATTTAATTTGTTTCCATTCTGTAACTATTACACTGTGATAATTTTCAATGTGTTTACATTGTTGTGTAGATCACTTTGTTGCCTCAGATTTAATTTCTCAAGTGTGTTTTCAGGTTCCATTTCTATATATAGTAAAAAGTTTGAATGCCTTCTGCTAACTTTACAATTGTCTACTGTAGTGTGGCAGAAGAGTTTTTTCACCTGAGTGTGGGGACTCACCAGTTAACATTTCTTAGCATGTTGAAATATAGACTATATGGTTTCTGTCACTGCTTACCAGTAGCACTACAATAGTACTGATGGGAAGCAATCCTTAAATAGCGCTTGCTATGTGCTGGGCACCGTGTTGATTCATCAGTCCACACAATGATCCCATGAAGTGAGTAATATCGATGTCCCTATTTCAGACATTAGGAAACGGGTTAAATTCCTTAAATCAGTAATCTTTAGGGTTCAGAGGATAACTTCAAACCATACACTACACTATAGCTCCAAAGTTTGTGTTTCTAGCAGCTACAGGCTTGTGTTTTAATGTTGAGAATGAGAGAGAATGTGCTTTTATAGTCCCCTTCCAGGTCTTTGCTGTCTTGTTTGCATTCTTGCATTTAGGTTAACAAGCTGCCTCTGTATCATCAGACACTTCCCTCATTATTTTTTATTGTTAAAATTTGATTTTATCTATGAACCAAGCTCAGCATTGCTTTAGAGTTAAAGACAGATTATTGTACAACTGCTAAAAAAGAATTGTATTGTCCAGTGTTAACAGCATTGGAAAGGTAGCCTGTGTAGTCAAACACACGCCTCCCCTTGTGGTAAAACATTTCTTAAAAATCACCTACTTTTCTTGAAATCCTCATTTTTCCTATTTTTTGCAATGGTTTCTCTGAAGTCTTTTGGTGCTGAGTGTGACTTGGGTATGTGGAACATACAGTGTATGTGTGTGTGTTTTGAATTTAAGAGACCATATTAATTCATCCAGTTTTATATATAAATGCCGGTAACTGCTAGGCAGCTTTCTAATTAGGGGCTCAGAGACTGGATGCGTGTATGTGGGGTATGTGTATGTCGGTGATAAAGAAATGTGAAGAAAAATAGTGAAACACACTATTGTGTATTGTGGGCTGTTGACTGGACAGAGTTAAGGTTTTTAAAAATATTTATTTATGCATACAGAGCTGGGGTACAGGCCAGAGGTGCAGGGGCTGTGAGAGGAATAACCAGAGACAGAGTGGGGAGCAGAACAGGCCGACTGATGTAGTACACTGCTGAGGGGAGCAGCGGGCGGGTCAGGAGAGGTCTGCCATGCTATGTGGGTCACCTCTGGGGCAGGGATCGAACTCATGCTGAAATGGCTTTAGCTTCTTAGTGCTGTGCTTTAACCCGCTGGGCCACCAGGGAGGGCCCCAGATTGTTATTTTTATATGTGATGAAAAATTGAACTTCCTGATGAAATGACGTTTGAACAGAGACCTAAAGAAGAGTGAAAAGTAAGCCAGTGTCACCTATAAAGGAAAGCAGAAAGAACATTTAGGAGAGGTACTTATTGGCAACTTGTATCATTTTTTTTTTAAAGATTTATTTATTTGTACATACAGAACTGGGGTACAGAGCAGAGACTCAGGGGCAGTGAGAGACTTCACCAGAGACAGAGTGGGGAGCAGAACAGGCAGATCAACGAAGTACACTGCTGAGGGGAGCAGTGGGCGGGTCAGGAGAGGTCTGCCACGCCATGTGGTCTCCTCCGGGGCAGGCGGGAATCGAACTCATGCGGAAGTGGCTTTAGCTTCTCAGTGCAGTGCTTTAACCCGCTGCGCCACCAGGGAGGGCCAACTTGTATCATTTTTTTTGAAATATATTTACTCACATTCTTCACTTACTATTTTAGTAGTTTTTAAAAAGAGCAGTTTCAGGCTCACTGAAATATGAAGGAGGTACTGAGCTTTCTCATGCCCCTTTTATCCCTTCCTATACATAGCCTTCCCCACTATCACCCCATACCAGGGTGGTACATTGGTTATAACTGGTGTGCCAAAACTGACGCCTTACTGATATCCATGGTTTATATTAGGTTCCAACTAATATTATGGTGTTTTTGCATACTCTGTGGTTTGGATAAATTATAATGTATCATTGAGAACATTTTCACTACTCTAAAACTCCTGTGTCTTGCTTCTTGTAGCCCTCCTCTCCCTAATTCCTAATTCACCTTTTTTTTTTTTTTAAAGATTTACTTATTTATGCATGCAGAACTGGGGTGCAGCCTACAGGTACAGGCCAGAGATACAGGCCAGAGGGTACAGAGAGACTTCACCAGAGACAGAGTGGGGAGCAACAGGCAGATTGACGAAGTACACTGCTGAGGGGAGCAGAGGGTGGGTCAGGAGAGGTCTGCCACACCATGTGGATCACCTCCCCGGCAGGGATCGAACTCATGCGGAAGTGGCTTTAGCTTCTTAGTGCTGTGCTTTAACCCACTACACCATCAAGGATGGCCACTAATTGACTTTTTTAATGTCACCAGAGGTTTGCTTTTCCCCAGAATGTCATCTAATGGAAACCACACAGTTAGGAGCCTTTCCAATTGGCTTCTTTCACTTAGTAATAAGTATTTAAGTTTCTCCATGTCTTGATAGTTCTTTTTAGTGTTGAATAATATTCCACCGTGTGCATGTATCACGCAGCTACTGAAGAACGCGTTGGTTGCCTCTAAGTTTTGGCAGTTATCAATCTATTTTTTTAAATTTTGGCATTGTAAGAATTCTCCATTTATTCTGATACTAGATATTTATCAGACATATAACTTGTAAATAATTTTTCCCACTGTGTGGGTTGTTTTATTCTCCTTAGAAGCACATATGTTTTTAATTTTGATGATGTCTAAAAAATCTATTTTTTCTTTGGTTGCTTATGTTTTAGGTGCCATATCTAAGAAAACATTGCACTAGCCAAGGTCACAAAGATTTTTACTGTTTAGGTCTTTTTTGAACTAAATTTGAGGTAATTTTGTGTCTGTTGTGAGACAGGTCCATATTCTTTTACATATGGAATTCTAGTTATTGAACACTAATTATTGAAAAGACTTAAAAAATTCCGGCCCTCCCTGGTGGCGCAGCGGTTTAAAGCACTGCACTGAGAAGCTAAAAGCCACTTCCGCATGAGTTCGATTCCCGCCTGCCCTGGAGGTGACCACATGGTGTGGCAGACCTCTCCTGACCCACCCGCTGCTCACCTCAGCAGTGTACTTCGTCAATCTGCCTGTTCTGCTCCCCACTCTGTCTCTGGTGAAGCCTCTCACCGCCCCGAGCCTCTGGCCTGTACCCCAGTTCTGTATGCATAAATAAATAAATCTTTAAAAAAAAATTCCATTTAATTGTCTCAATACATTGTGGGAAAGCGAACTTCATGGGTCATAGACCCGCAGGTTTCTTACCAGACTCTGTCCTTTAATCTTTATCTTTAACTGGTCCCACAAAGTCTTGGTTACTGTAGCTGAGTATATGTTCTTGAAGAACTTAGTGAGGCCTCTGAAGGTCTTGTTTTCTACATGTTTAGCTTATTAGCAGACTGAGAGATTATGTTTAAGGCACTTAAAAAAGTGGCATTCTGTAAATGTTAGCTGTTTTTATTTGATCCTCACAGCAAAGAGAGGTGGTTTCAGGTTTGTATGTTAGAAGAATTAATGACATTTGAAATAATTTTTTAATCCACATCTTATTTTTTCTGCTCTTTCACCTCTCAGCTATACAATAGGTTAAAATATTTTTCCTCAAAGATAGAATGTCTTTCTGTCACTTAACTCTAATTAATTCCTGTATCTGGGGGGCTTGTTTTTTCCCCCTCAATAAAAAATGTCAATTTCATCAAAAAACATGGATTTTAGGAAAAGTGTGGAGTTTAGCTCAGGAAGCATCTGCAGTGGCCTCTGTCCCGTGAAAACAAAGCCTCAGTAACATACCCTGGCTTTCTGAAGGATGGTCTTTTTGAGTGGATGTATGGAGAAAAAACTAAGGAACATACTTTGATTTTTTTTTCTTTTTTAGCACATGAAAGCAACAGTATAACATTTTGTGTCACTAAGACTTTTGAAAGTGATGCCATTAAGGAGAATATATATGAAACTCTCCTCTCATATGTGTATGCACTTTAGACATTATTTATTTGTAAATTTAATATTTCCCAATTGGAACCCACATCATTAACTGTTTCAGTTTGGTTATCACTTCTGTCATATCTTTCCATGCAAAACTGAATGCTTGTTTTCACAGAACAGATGTATATATATTTTCTCATCCTTATTAAGGCTCGTTTTTATTGGTTTTTCCATTCTGAACAGGACAAGCTGTGAAGTATGCATGATATTAAACCTCTTGACCAAACACCCAGGATTTCGTGACTTTGTCCCATATTATGGTTAAGTTTTGTGTTCTTATATTGCACTCAGAGGGAGACTAGGAAACTCATTTTGGACCACATTTCCTAGGCCAGGGACAGTCTAAACTATTTTTTTAGTGCCCTTTCCCCTGGTGGACAGCTAGTTGAAGCCTTTGGGAGTAAAAGTACTTCCCAGGACATAAACCCAACCCCTCCTCCCACAGCCATTTAAAATAGTTTAAAAATAGCCCCCACTTAAAGTTTTGTGTCAGGCCATGACAACTTTATAAAAATTGTATTTACTTTTCTTCTCTTTTTCATTTATTAAAACACTGCTTATCACAGATTCCCAGAGAAATAAATTTACTGCCAAGTTATGCAAGAAACTTTCATTCCTTAAGGTAAGTAGCAAGCATAAGTTATTTCCACTGTCCAAAGTACAAGCTGACTTTTACATCCAAATCCACTATTGAGCCAGTTTGAGATTGATGGTTTAAGAAATGGCATTCTTTTCTTAAATCTTTTGAGCTAAATAGGTAGATTCAAAGACTCTAGTCATGCATTTATACATTCACTTGAACGTTCAACAAATATTCCTAAGTGTTTCCTTATATCAGGCACTGTGTTAGACTCTGGGAACTCCAGTGGTGAACAAGACAAAGACTGTTCCCAGTTCCTTGGAACTTACATTGTAGGAAATTAAATAAATATATTGCAGTATTCTTTAAAGTAACATACATGTACTCATGTAATTAGTATAAGTGAAGACCTTAGAAAATCTTGAACTTTTACAAAATTTGTTTGCTAAATCCTACTACCCTACCCTGTAAATCAACTAGTTGCTTCCCATCCGACACAGAGCAAAATCCAGAATCCTAAGATTGTTCTGGAGGATCCTACAGGTTGGCCCAGCTCCATACCTCATCTTCTCCTTCACGCTCACAGACTCTGACCCAGATGTCCTACCTCCTAGTTGGCTTTTGCATATATCAAATCTGTCCTGATCAGGACCTTCTCATTTGTTCTGTTTTCCTGGATGTCCTCATGACTTGCTCTCTCAGTTGTTCTGGTTCTCTAGTGAAATATTCAGTCATTTTATTAGTGAAGACTTACCTGGACATGCAAATGCCTCTTCCTGCTTAATTACTTGTGCTGATTTAACTTCCTAATATCTCCTGGCATCTATGCATGTGCTATTTTTTCATATTTCTTGATTGGCTATTCCCTGCCCTGGTTTGTAATCTCCAAATAGAATGCAGGTTTCATTGAGCAGTGATGTTGCCTAGAGCACTGTCCCTGACACTGAGTAGATGAGCATGAGTAGTCCTTGGATGAACAAGTGCTTAATGTGACTTCATGAGCAAGCTTCAAAATCTGTCAGAGCTCCATTTCTTACTTTCCATGAAATGCTGCTAAATTTTACTAATTCAAAATTGCTTTGCAAGAAAACTCAAGTATGGCTTCCAATGCGTCTGTTGTATCTGGGTTTGGTACCAAGCTCACAGATTTTAGTTTTGTGAAGAAGTCCAGACTGCCAAGTTCAGCAACTTTGTAACCAAGCTTTAATCTCACAAAACATTTCAAATAACAGTACAAAAAAAATTCTTGCACAGTAACTTGGACTTCAGTCTTACAACATATCCTTAGCTGGTAGGACGTTGGCATCTTGAATAATCTCAAAAAAATCCAAACAGGGAATATTGCAAAGAGCTATATATTCATGTATAACAATCACATAAGGAACACGTGAACTAAAGCAAGAGTAAACTGTTGTGAAAGTTTTCAGATTCTGTACCAACTGAGTAACCCCTGCTTGGTATGGAGACTAGTTGGCTTTCACAAACATCTCTCTTCCTTGTTTCTTCTATTGCAACATATTCTGCAATTGACTATTCCTTACCACCTTCTCTGATAGTTCAAATTTAATAACAACGCATGCACTGGTAATCATACCTGATTTTACCTACAAACCATTCATACTACTGGCAAATATTTTAGCTCATACATGTCTTTGGCATTAGGATACTAAGATGAAAAAACATAACAGCCTCTTTAAGAAAAATATGGTCACAACTTGATATGTTGCTCTAAAATCAGTGTAATGGCTAAAGGAAGCCAGGAAGCCAAAGACTGTGTTTCCTGTTTCTTTCTCCCATAGTTCTAATATGTGGAAAATATCAAATAAAAAGGATCCAGTGGTTTCCTTGAACACATATATTCTTTGAAACAACAAGACTTTTACAGTAACAATGGCGCATAATATGCCTACGTAGGATAAATAGGAAATGAGAATTGACCAGTGTCCCAACAGTCCTGAGAGAGAATGACTGCTGTGCTCAGGCTGGTTGAGGAGTGTCTGGGTGAAGTAGGTCTCAGGTAGTAGACTGGAGGGTCATGCTGTGCAGTCCGTGGCATCCCACCATTCTTGGTAACCCCAAAGCTCGATGTGACAGGGCAGTAATGGAGCCTTTCCTGCTGGGCCTGTATACTTTTGTGTCTGTAGTTCATTCCTCTTTATCCTCATTTCCCAGAACAGGAATGATGGACTCCAGAGGACTGGGCTGTAAAAGGAGAAGGAGAAAAATGTGGTGCCGATTACGGAGTCTGTCCTTGGGGGCCTGGTGCTTCGGGTGAGGCCTGGGAATGTGTAAATGAGCTGGAACCTGACCTGGCCCTGAAGGGATGGGCCATCACTGACCTTAGTCTAACTCTGGCATTGACACTTGCCAGAGGGTTGGGGGGTCTGTACTGGGTTCCTCTGTGCCCAGGCTGTCTCCTCTTTGGACCAGCAGTCAGTTCCATTTGGCACAACTTGCCTTTGGAAAATGTTTTCCCATAGTTCCCAAAGAGCTATATAAGTAGATAGTTTAGACCTTTGCTATTAGTGCTTTTGTCAAAATCATGCCAAATTCAGAAGCATTTTAGTATTTAGAAATGTTTTTAGAGGAAAATCACAAAATAAGACTAAACTTTTATTGTTTTGAAGCAACATCTTACTGTCTCAATACTATTTTCTTTAAAAAAGTGATTTTTTTTCAAATTATGTTTTTCAAGATAAGATTGGTTTACATCATTGTATCTGCGTTGGGAGTTATAGATTCCAACTTCTACAAGTGTATATTGTTTTTTAACCAACAACCTTTATGATGTTATCCCATACATTTATTCTGTAAGTAATGATAGGCCTGGCATCTGTTCTTCGTTAATTTTCTTCCTAACCTCTCTTTAACGACTCTTTCTCTCATTTGTACTTGTTACAAATGATATTTTGGGTTGAGGTTATTTTAAAGTGGTATTGGAATCAATCCTGGAACTGTCCTGTTGTTCAACAGCACATGTACTTTTAAGACTACACATCCAGGGTCATCCTACCAAAATAAATTATATGAGCCTGTGTAAAACTCTCAAGTGCCTGATTTTTTATTTATGACAGTTGGCTGCTGTCATTTGGTTTGTAGTTTCCCCTGAGCAAAAATGGGCTCCTTTTCTTTGCTCTCCCTTTTCCAAGAATTCCTAGCGTACTCATTTCTTAAGTAGCTGTAGGTTTGTGTCGCTATTTTAACTTCAATGTCCCCCTTTGGGAATTTTCAAATTTAGCTAAATGTTAGTCAGATCTACAGTTTTAACAATTGTGTAGGTGGATGGAACTCAGAGACTTGCCCATTTATAGGCGTCTGGGCTAGCTGAAATCACTAAGATGTTCTTTACCTTGACCTAAGGTGGATAGAACTCTCCCTATCTATATTGGAAACTTGACTGATATTTTTTGTATATTCTTGTAGCAAGTTCCACAAAGCATACATTCTTCACAAAGCATAATGTTGTTCATTTGAATTATTTGAAGATTTGTAGATCACTAAAAAATATACATAGAAATATGTGTACCAAGTCTTTTTCTTGTCTGGGAAAAGAACCTAAATTTTCTCCAGCAAATTGAGAAGAGTCTTCATTTTGGAAGCTGACATACTGGAAATCCTACCATATGCACAATTGCAGGATCTTTAATTATTTTCAGTGTCTTTTTATGCAGCCAGTATAACAACAGTCTGGATGAACCCACCCATTCTTCCCTACCTTTCGAAAAATTGAATCAAGTTTATGGAGATGAAATTTTCTTTACTTTTGGGTTTTAATAAATATTTGTTGAGGTAATGTTGGTTTGTAACATTATATAAGCTTCTGGCACAAAGCATTATAATTTGATATTTGGTTGTACTGCTGATCACCATTAAAAGTCCAGTTCCCATCCACTACCACACAATTGATCTCCTTTACCCATTTTACCTACAGTTGATTTAATACAAATCAAAATGGTAATGAGATATCACTTCAAATGGGTATTGTCAACGGTGGGATGTGGAGTATACAGAGTGAGTCTTTGTGCTCTAATCATTATAGAAACCAGTATGGAAATTCCTCAAAAAATTAAGAATAGAAATACCATATGATCTAGTGATTCCATTTCTGGGCATTTATCCAAAGAATATGAAAATACTAACTCAAAAAGTTATATGCAGCCCTATATTCACTGCAACATTAAATACAATGTCTAAGATATGGACACAACCCAAGTGCTTATCAACTGATGAGTGGATAAAGGTGGGATATATAAGTGCAGTGGAATACTACTCAGCTATAAAAAGGTAGCTCAGTGTGGTTCACATAGCAAGAGAATATTGTATTGCATATTGCTAGCCAGAGTGAAAGTCAAAAGTAAACACCTGGATGCAAATTATCTTTTTACTACTATAAATCTGGAAAATCTTTAACCGAACTACTATAAGGTGGGGGCCATCTCTGCTGTTGCTGCTCCCTTTCACCCATTCTGTCCAGGGGAGAAGTTGAAAGGAATCTGCCACAATTCTTCCTTCCTTACTGTGAGCTTTTCTGGGAAATGATGCCTGGATTTTTTGGGAAAATAGTCTAACCGCTAGTCCTCAGCAGTCAGCTGTGGGGCAATGAGTGGGCACTCCATAGACTAAGATCAGCTACCCAACTAAACTGTGAACACTCAAGCAGAGTTCCCCATGCTGGGAGCCTCTGTGCCTCAAGGGTGGAGATCCCCTTCTAGAGAAGTCCAGGCCGGGATTCTGGTCCCTAGTTTCAGAGCAACTGCTGTTGCTTTATATGTCACTCCATCCTCACTGCTGACCAGTCTGGTGCTGTAGGAAGGAGTATTGCTTACAGCCACTGAACGGAACCCTTGCCTCTCTCCTAACCTCTGTGAACTACTGCTCAATTCATAGACCTACACTAGCTCTCGTGCATTCTCATTACAGTCCTAATGCATGTTTTGGTGTTACACATCTTCACATTGTGGGGTTCATGTGACAAGCTCTTTTTACAACAGAAGAACCATTTTAAGAAAAATGGACTCCGCCTTTACTTTTAGCTTTTCATT